TAACCTATTCACTTCACTAGATTGCTACAATAATCATAAATATATCTGCACTAATCTAGAAAAATATAAAATTTTTAATCCAAAAACAATTCATAATATCTACAATCTAATCTTTTACTACTTTAAACAATTCTTTAACACTATACCTATTCAACAATATATATATTCATTCTTAAATCATTTTTCCTTCATCTTAGCAACATTTTATATACCTTTACTTTTTAAAGAACTTTATAAACTAGCTGACTAATCTAAACAAATCTTTATTCAACTAAACAACACATCTACTAATTCCAAATATATATCTTATTTTTTTTATTGCTATCTTAAAGCTTACTTTAAATCTGTAGCAATAAACAATAAAATTATTAATCTTAATCTCAAAAAAGCATAGAACAAAATCTCCTCTCAAACAAGCAATCCACAAATTCTAGCCAGAATTATTGTCTATTATGACATTATCCAAATCTCTAAATAAACTAATACTCAACTTAAAAAAAATCTTAACAAGTTATACTTTGATTAAACAAACCAATACATTATCAAAAAACTTAATATTGTTATACCTACAGTATCAGAAACTAACTTTATCTATACTTTTAATGTATCTAAAATTATTAATGAACTCAATAATAGTCTTTTCTTCTAGTAATATTTATATATTTCTGTTAACTTTTCTTTATCTATTTATCTATTCAATCTATACTACTTATCTTAGCTATACCTTTATAATTCTATTAACTTCCTTTATCTTATTTGCTTATTCAATTAATACTATTTTTTAATTTTTTAACTTTACTTTATTTCTTATTTAATTTATCTTATCTTTGATTTCTTTTCTTTATAATGATGTAATTAATTTCTAATAGCATAAATAGTTAGTAAAATCTATGAGTAGCTTATTAGTATATACTAGAGTAATAAACATTATTTAGAAAATTTTAACTAATTTAGATGAGCCTTAACTACTCTAGTAGGTTTAAGCTGCAGATAAATATGTTTGAGCTCTTACTCTTGCATATAACATTTATATTACTTAGAGTTATAGTTTTATAGTTAGTGGTTTAATAATTAGCCCTGATCACAAGTGTTGGTCTTAGCCATAATATATATAGAACTTCTTTTTGTATTTAGTAACTCCATGTAGTTACTACTTAATGACTACAAATAAAAATAGGAGCAAGGCTTCTTCTTAATACCAAAAAAAAAATAAGTTCTTTGATTGTTTAAATATATATTTAAGTTATGTTTATATCATTATATTATTTTAATTTATACTGTTAACAATCCTGTTTAAAAAAATAAATACTACTAACTAATTTGATAATTATCTTTTGAAAAAGATAAATTAAATTGTTTACTTTTAAAATTTTTTTTTAAAGAAAAATAAAAAGCAACAAAATTTATATAAAGTTTGCTATGTAAGTTTTATATTAATATAGTAGTTATTTCAAATTTTAATAATCTTATTTTGTGTTTTTTTTACAATTATTTTCAAAAAAACTTTTGAGTTTGGATGTTAAACAAAAAGAAAAGTATGTTTTTAAAAAAACTTGACAATTCTTCAAACTTCTGCAGGTATATCTAATTTTTAACGGTTTATATTTATTGAATTTATTAACAACAACCTATTTTATATAAAACCAGGCATATTTCTTTTTATATCTTTAATATTTTTCTATAATTTAGTTTTTTAGTATTATTGATTAAATGATTATCGGAAAGAATTACAAATTTATGAATACAAAAAATTTTTGATTAAAAAAATTTTTAATAAAAAGAATTATTTTTTTTAATTGAATGTGAAACAAATACTAACATACACTTTGTTTAAGCAGAAAAATATCTTTATTTATATAGATTTTATAGAAGAAAAAGAATATTTTTGAATATTTGTTTATTAAACTAACATATTTTTCTTATTATTACAAACTTTATTTTCCTTTTTAACTAATTTTTTATCCTTATATTTTTTTATAACCTTTACTTTCGGCATCTAAATTATTTCTAATAAAGTTCTTAACCATGAAAATTCATGTAAACACATGATTGAACTTGAGCACGATCACAAGCTTTTTCTAACAAAGCAATATTAACACACTGACCCATTATAACCTTCATTTTTGTCGATTGGGTTAATGTTGATCACTTTACCATTTTGGGTTTACCAATAGCAATTGTTCTGAATGCTTAATTATCATCCATTTCAAGCATTTCTTAGAGACCTAGAGGTCAGGTCTGCCATTAACACTATATAATCTACCTCTCTCTAATCTATAACCCTAACCCTAACATAAACGAACTTTGAAGATTTTGCTGCGCCATAAATCTGATACCCATTTTTGACATTGATAATATTTTATTTGTATTGAACATTAGCTTAAAATCTTACGTTTTGATTTAATTAATCATATTAATTAATTATAGAATATATAAACAACTAACAAATTATAATTTTATTACACTGTTATGTCTAATTACTAGTTGATAGTGAAACTATTACATAATTATATACTAAAGCATTTATATTATACTAAATTTATTGATTTATATAAAAACTTGGATTATTTGACTTTATAGTAAACATAATATTATTATCAAAAATATTCAACCTTTTAAGGTATTATTGTAAAGTGCATTGGCTAATTTTTTTCCTACATTTGGACCAATTTTATTATAAGAAAAATTTAAGTTTTTCATGGTATGGTTCTTGCCAAGTGCATTTACTAACGCTTTCCCTCCTTCTAATCCAAGATTATTATAAGAAAGGTTCAAAGAAGTTAGTGTGGTGTTTTTGCAGAGTGCATCTGCTAACGCTTTTCCTCCTTCTAATCCAAGATTATTATAAGAAAGGTTCAAGAAAGTTAGTGTGGTGTTCTTACAGAGTGCATCTGCTAACGCTTTTACTCCTTCTAATCCAAGACAATTATGAGAAAGGTTCAATGAAGTTAGTGTGGTGTTCTTGCAGAGTGCTTCTGCTAATGCTTTTCCTCCTTCTGGTCCAAGTCTATTATCAGAAGAACAATCCCAATAATCCCAACAATTTCCACCAAGATTCAAATCTTTCAACGTAGTATTCATGCAAAGTGCAGCTGCTAATGTTTTTCCGACATCTGGATCAAGATTATTATCACTAAGATTCAAAGAAGTCAGTGTGGCGTTTTTGCAAAGTGCATCTGCTAATGCATTTCCTCCTCCTGATCCAAGTTCATTGTATCCAACATTCAAAAAAGTCAGCGTGGCATTTTTGCAAAGTGCATCGGCTAATGCTTTTCCACCTTCTGATCCAATTTTATTGTATTCAATATCCAAAGAAGTCAGAGTAGTGTTCTTGCAAAGTGCATCTACTAATGCTTTTCCACCTTCTGATCCAAGATTATTATAAGAGAGGTTTAAAGAAGTCAGTGTGGTGTTTTTACAGAGTGCATCTGCTAATTCCTTTCCTCCTTCTGGTCCAAGTCTGTTGTTACAAGAATAAGCCCAATAATTTCCGCCAAGATTCAAATCTTTTAGCGTAACGTTCTTGCAAAGTGCAACTGCAAACGCTTTTCCAACGTCTGGTTCAAAATTGTCACTACTAAGATTCAAAGAAATCAGCGTAGTGTTTTTGCAAAGTGCATCCGCTAATGCCTTTCCTCCTCCTGATCCAAGTTCATCATGTTCCACATTCAAAGAAGTTAAAGTAGTGTTCTTGCAAAGTGCATCAGCTAATGCTATTCCACTTTCTGATCCAAGATTACTGTGAGAAAGGCTCAAAGAAGTTAACTTACAAAGTGCATTTACTAATACATTTCTTGTTCCTGGTTCAAGATTACAATAATTAACACTCAAAGACAGCGTTGTATTATTGTAAAGTGCACTTGCAAATATTGTTTGACTAATATTATAATCAAGTGTTAAATGTTTAAGATTTTTACTTGTTCGTAGAAACATTGCAACTAAAGAGAATTTAATAGCATTTGCAAGTCCATCTTTGTCATTGACCTTATATTTTTCTTTTTTAAGCCACCTTTTGACTGCGGTGTCCAAAAAAGAACCAACAGATGTAGTATAACTTTCATACTCAAATAATGGCTTTTGATAATTTGGAAGAATAAAGTTAAAAGGGATTAATAGAACTTGTTCTTCAGCATTTAATGCTAAAAAATAAGTTTTTATAAGTCTTTTGTTACCGCAATAATTTGTAGGTTTACTCCATAATATTGGTACAATAAGTTTACACCATCGACGGTTTACAAGAAGGCACGAAAATAAGGTTTTATAATTAGTTTGTAAATTATTAAATATTTCAATAAGGCATTCGTTCGGTAACGTTATCATTTTGAAAGAGCTATAAATTTAAGAAATTGGATTTTGCCTCCGGTATATATAATATAAAACGTCGTGAAACGTTATACATAGAGATGCAGACTGCGCAGTATTTCACTGCGCAGGCATTTTTTGAGACTGCGCAGTGCAATTTTATAATTCAGGCCAGCTGGCATAATTCTGGTCAACTTTAGAATCCAGTCAAAAAAAAATCAAACCAACAAAAAAACGCTCGTAGCTCAAAATTTTGACTATTAAAGTGCCTTCTGCGTATTGTATAACAAAAAAAAATTCCTCGTGATATTTTACTGTAACTACTAAACTAATTGCGAACCGATTTTTTTATAAGCATCACCTGATTAATAGACTCCATCGTTCATAATTCTGGTTAAACTGCAGATCATTTGACCACATTTAAAGTTGATTTGTTCTAGATCTAGCCAAATGATCTGCAAATTTGACCACCGATATGCAGAAAAAAACTGACGTCTAAACTAACCTTGGAGCATCAATTAAAAATAATGGAAGCTCAACTTTACATATATGAAATAGATGTTTTATATATATATAAACGCGAAACCCAATGAGCAAAAATCTCTAGGAATTGAGTCTGTGCAGGCTGCGCGGCCTGCGCAAAAAATCCCATCTCTAGTTATACGTGTATATAATGCGATGGTTTGAAATTTAATTGGTCAATGTTCTGAATTTTGAGATTGCGCACGACCTAGCTTTTACACGAGTCTCAACAAGACCAACCGAGAGGTATATTAACAATTGTTAATGATCATAATTTTGTTTTTTTTTTGCTTAATGTGCAGACCGAAATTGATTTTTTAGATCATGAGTAGCGATGTGCCGCGTACAGTACAGTACGCAAAAATTTTTTTAGAATATTCTAGAACAAATCATAAAGTATCCCTATCTTAAAATTTCGCATTCTAACAAAAATTATTCCTTGCACAATGTTGCATATAACTGATTTATAAATGCCACATCTATTATGTGTATTACGTATGCTATACACACTATACAACTATATGTACTGTACGTACTGTACGCGAAAAAAATTCAGATATTATATAAATGGCACATCTATAATCATGAGGTTCCAGGCTAGTTAACTCATCAACAGCTGATGTTGAAATATGAAATTTTCACATATGATTTGCTAATTTCAGCTTTAGTCAAGCCCCAACATCTTAAACATATACTGTAGTACTGTATTTCTTAGATCGAGACAACTTCAAACGAACAGGTCACAAATTTTTTTTTTTAATATTAGTTCACGATCATGGTAAACAATTCACAAGGTTTGAAGATATAGTTATATATATAAAAACACTATTTGAGTGCATGAGAGTGAAAACCCGTAACCAATCATAATAAATCATTAAATGTATTTCCTATTTTCACTCTCACGCACTCATTTGTTGAAATAATGAGCAAGGTGGTCAGAAGAGTACTTTAAAATGTTTGTAAACGCTTTCTCTAGAAAGAAAAAAAAACACTCAAATCCTTATTTACTGTACTGCCCAGTTTATTCAGTGTACATTGAATTAACACGTTATATAAATTTTTAAATTTTGACAGTCTCATGAAAAGTATATTATGAAATACGGATTGTCAATAATGGGAGAACTGTTTATTTGTAATTTTAAGAGTGAACAAAAAGAAATTACGTAATAAACGGCCTTCTCTAAGGTATCCAATTTTTTCTTATAATAAGCATTGTTATGGTTATAGGTATTATAAATAGAATTTTTATGTAGTTTGCAATTTTTACAGAAAATTTATCCGGTATAATTTATACTAAGGACTGTAAATTGAAGCTCCGAAATAACATCCGTAGGCGTTATTTTGTAATACAATATACTGAATGGGTTGTCATTAATAATATACGTATTAAGTAGATCAAATAAAACCTATGATCATGGATAATAGCTGATTTATTCCCCGGTTCTTATTATAATTCTATACTATTTTTAAACTTAGTTGAGTTTTCTAAAGTTTAGCTTTATTAGACTTCTTTCGTTTTTTTCTATTTTCTTCATTTTTCTTTAAACAAGAATTTTACTTTTCAGTAGCAATTCTACCGACTTAAAAAATTCAAGAATTGTCAAAAAAGATGTAATTTAAAAAGAATTATGTATAAAGATTCTGAATCTGAGATCCGGGAAATAAATTTTCTTTCTTGCACATCTTTTATAAATAATGTATTCAATACCTCTTTTATAAAATTATTTTCATAAATTGCATTTATACCTGATATTTAATTTATCTTCAGAAGTTACAATTATAGTAAGAGACTTGAATAAATGATCTAACTGATATATTATCAGTGCTCCAGGGTCACGTTATTCGATATTTACAATCACTTTTCATCACTCATAATGTCAAAGTGAATTTCTAAAACAAATATTTGTAAGAAAAATTAATTTTAGCTTAATAAATTTTAATTATATTTGTATAATTACCGTCTAAAGAATTATATGTATGTAATATAGATGCCTCTGATTAAAAATGTATGTTAAATATAAAACCGTGATATAATTTTAATTTAGCATATTAAATCGAGATATTACCATCAATAATGGGACTCCGCGGTTGCGATTGGATGCTTAGTACAGAATTAACTACATCAGTTAATAATCTGCTCGTATAAATTGCTTTATTATTATATTGTTCAATAGAGGTTATATTTTCAATTGTTGGAAATGCCCGATGATATGCTTTATGGGTAGCGTGAAGATAACGTTTTCGAATATATTCTGCCGTTGGTCTTTTTTGGGGGTTTGCATCCCAGCATTTTTCCATTAAATCCACCATATCTTTTGATGTTCCATCAATGATTTTTGGACGAAGCCCACCAATAATATCTATAACAAGTTTTCCATCATGCTCACGATCAGAAAAAGGTTTCCGACCACTTGTCATTTCCCAGACAATCATTCCAAAACTTTAAATGTCTGAGGCAATAGTATATTTCTTTTTACTTAATATTTCTGGTGCGATATATGGAATAACACCATATATATCATTAGATGCTTTCCTATTGGCTGACTGACTTATTCCAAAATCAACAATGTAGGGTTTCTTCGACCCGTGAATAAGGATATTACCACTATGAAAATCCCGATGAATAAGATTTGCACTATAAATTGCTTCCAACCCTTTTATTATTTTTGATAATATTTCACCCTTCATTTTTGAAGGCAAATCTTTAAAATTCTTTGAAAGATAATTATGTAAATCTCCGTTATTTGCAAAATTCATGATAATCATAATGGTTTTTGAATTGGGATCTTGAGTCACCCCGTATAAACGGTTAACGCTGTCTGAACTTTTCGGCATTCATGCATTTAAAGTAATTTTCAACCTAAATAAATAGTTCAATTGGAATGACTTTTAAATTAGTGTTCAGCTTTAATATTTACCTTTAGAGAATACTGACCTCATTTAAAAATCCGGGCACAGCATCGTTTGAGTCATCGATATTTTTAAGGACAACTTCTTTATTATTTAAATGACGATTATAATGATTTGGTCCAACCCAACTTAAAGGACCATTAGGCCATGTTGCTTTATATACGGTGCTAAATCCTCCCTTTCCAAGATAAGTAATGTCAGTAAATTGTTCATATGGAACGAATTCTATGGTATATTTATTGCTGAGTTTCGCTTTCTTGATAAGTTTGTCAACCGCATTATTTCCACTTAAAATTTGTGGTGGTAAACGATTTTCGCAATCAAAGCATAGAGAATTATTGTCTTTATGTCTTCTAAAACGATTACATCTTTTGCATTTTCTAGTTATACAATTACATGGTCCTTCTAAATATCCATCTTTTCCACATGCTTTGCAACGTTCCATTTTGTTTTATGTACCAATTGTGGTTTCGTGATGCTGTTTTCAACCTTTATTTATTACTTGTATTTTTCTAAAGAAATTGATTTGAAACGATGACTGAGTCGAATTTTTAGTGAAACTTAATTTTGAATATTTGCCGATAACATATGAAATTTGTGTCCATTCTGCACATATCATCATTATACATAAACTACCCCAGTGGCACCACTGATCGATAATTTTTTTAAAGACATAGAAGGGTCAGGTTTATAATTATAACGATACTAAAATTATCCAATGAATGTTTTTTACTAACGCGCAGAAGATGATTACATAGACGAAATTTTGAGTTACGGCGGTTTTTTTTGATTTCACGTTTTACCTGATCTTGTATCTAAGGTCAATCGCTGTCGATCAGTGAAAATCTGTCGGTGCCACTGGGGATAGGAATCGACTAAACATAGTAATTTCAATGAATCCATTCTATGCCTTTATTAACGGTTTATAATTTGGCTTGATGATCCTTATTGTTGTATTGTACGTATTTGATTCTACAACTTGACAGATTTTCATCAGTCTTGTGGGGATCGACAAAGAAATTTTCTTAATTTTCTTTGAAATAGAACTTTTGCTACCGCAGTTTTTGTATATATGTTGTAAGTAGGGTGCTAAATGGAGCGGATTTGGTTTGGGTTTGTCTTTGATGCACCATATGTTCCAGAGCACTTGCAAAAGTCTCAACCAATTTTGATTGGATAAGCTAGGTCATTTATTTTCCCGGCTATTTATTGCGCCAGTCTTTTTGTATATACGTACACTCATATTAATTACAATGTTTTTCGCTCTGTAGCAACCGGATCATACCTATCTTATCTCAATAGCAGAGTAAAATTTAAACAAATCAGAACATGCTGCATCATTTAACAACCTAGGATATACAATTCGAAATTCATTGGACAGATTCTGAATACATTTAAATGGATTTTGAAAGAATAAATTGATTTACGTACTAAAAATATAATTGACCAACATAATTATATGGGATCCTTACTAACAAAATCACCCTACGAGATTTTTCAATCAGAAAATCTCGAAGGGTTGATTTTGTTAGTAAAGATCCCATTTGTCTAGAAGTATAGTTAATCAGTAAAGGTGTTAATCAAATAATGAACCAAACCAGTCTGTGACTTATTTCCACAAACCAGTCAACTCACCAAATTTAATTTTCTTTTTAATTCAACGGACATTGCATGAAATAAAATAAAAGTAAAAATGTCTGAATCGTAATGAAGACAATTATGTATCCACATTCGAAACTAGCCATACTTCTAAAAAAGAAACTCTTCATGAGTATACATCATGTACCTAATTGTAAGCAATAATAATACCACCAACCCGTGCAAATCATGATTCTAGATGCATTCATTGCGCAGTTTAGAATAAAAGAAAGCCATAAGGTTTCTGAATATTAGAACATTCATCATCCACACACATTTCTTTATAATAAATAATCTAAATCCTAGCCTAGCCAACAGGAGGGAACGTACCCGATCCAAAGTGAATCCCACACGTGGTGTGATCAAATAAAACTAAAATTATTTATTTTAGTTTTAATTGATCACACCGTGTGTGGGATTCACTTTGGATCGGGTACGTTCCCTCCTGTTAGCTAGCCTTTTAAAAAAGTTAACCACAAATATTTTATTAAAATAGGTCAAACTTTCGGCACAAGTAATAATATTTATTAATCATTCAAAAGCAAAATTCTGTTTATTCAATCTGTGCATCAATAAATGTCGCGGATGATGCTGAAATTTGGATACGAAATTTTGGTTTTTCTACTTTTGTTTTTTTAAGGTAGGGTTAGAATTTTTGGCTAGAACTGATAAAGTGTATATATGGATTTTAGCGGGCTTATATCTTCAAATCGAGACCCCAAATTTCAGTATCAGCCAATTTTAGCATCAGCCGCGACAATAAATATAATTTCTCATGGATATACTAACCTAAAAAAAAGTAACATGATTGTAAAATTAAAAAAAAATTAGAATAACTGAAAATAGAAGATTAAATAAAAAAATCAATAAAATAATAATAATAAAATTTTGAAAGGCTTGATCAATTTTTTATTTTGATTTTGCTAACCAATATAGTGATAATTCATTATTTAAATACATGCATATGTGTGTAAATAAAATACTGTAAATCTGAATACACATGATTTATCCAGCAAATAAATAATTAATTTAATATATGTAAAATAAGTATAAATAAACCCTCCAGTCATCTTAATCTAATACAGAATAATCATATTTTTCTCATTAAATCCTATCTCAAGAAGATCTTGTTCAACAGCAGCTAACATACCAGATGGACCACTAACAATAATCTTTCCTTGTATCAAATTATCATTTTTTTCCGAATTTGCTAAATCTGGATCAATATTAAGTGATGATTCTTTTGTTGATACTTTCGGTTCTAGGTATAGTGATTGAGGCTTTAACGTTGGTGAATGACTCCAGTTGTGCTCATTTGCGTCATGACGTATAGAATGACTATGAAGAATGCTCTTCTGAGATTTGTTAGGAGACCGGATGAATACACCCCGCATCATATTCATCCAATCTTGTATCATTTGTTTATTAATTCTTCCTTGCAAGCCATCCCAATTTGAAGGCGGCTCTGAGAGACAGTATGTTACAGTTAATTGTCCTTGACTTGAAAGTGCAAGATCTTCAAGAAATATACCATCGATAACATCTTCAATTTTACGGTTCCCAAATAATAAATGCATTCGTTTGTGTTTATCATATTCATTGATGTCGTTTTCTTGTGCTATCGACCGCTCCAAGTGATACTTGATTAACTGATATAATCGAGATTAGAAATCTTATTAAATTACTTTTAATACTTGATAAAATATGAATATTAAGTTACCTGTAGCATTGGTGTTATTCCGGTACCACCTAAGAAAGTGAAAAAAGGTTATCCATATTTTTATAAAAAATGTCAATGTACAACATTTATTCAATCAGTACCTGCAATCATATATAATTCATCCCAACAACCATCCGGACTATCTGGATTTAATAAAGAAGTTTTTGCCGTAGATGACGTTCCAGTAAGTTTGGAGTAAGGAATAAGAGGTTTTATGGATGGTAAAATGCTCAGACGAGAATTTAACGACTCTGCTAGTGTAGGTGCCAAATATGCTCTATCACAAACATCAAATGGACCACGTGCTTGAATTTCATATCCTAATAGTTGTTCATTCTAAAAATAATAACTAGTGTTAATTTAAAAGAAATATTATCAAAAAAGTGTGAATGTTATTCTAAACATACCAAATGTTGTGAAAAAAGTCCCATTGGATAAATTTTGACGTAAATGGTAAATGACTTGGATAAGCTACCTTCCAAAGGAATGTAACTTCTAATAACAATTTGATCATTTACTCTAGATTGCACTTCAATGTAATGTCCAGGTAAAAAATTTTCACTATAAACATCTTTTTCGACTTGATGCATGTTAGAAAATGTAAACTTCATCACAGGATATTCAACATTTGCATTAATCATTTTTTTGCTTGTAAGCCTATAACGGTGAAATTTGATGTTATTTCCTTCTTCACTCATTTTTTCATTTACTTTGCCTATAACCATTGACGTCATTTTCTGTATGGCAAATCTGCTATGAGCATGTTGTGCCAACGGTTTTCTCGAATAAAAATTTACGTTAATATTATCAATAAATTTGGCAGCTGTCATTTTTATTCTAGGTTCTGGCTTTCCTTGAAGGTGATTAATATGTTTTGCAAGCACAGATGAATACTTTTTAGAAGTTATATCTTTTGGAATTGATAAAAGTTCCGAAGAATCTGTAACTTCGACAATTTTATTTTCATGTGTGTTGTAAAAATCTAAATGAAAATATTTATTATTTAGTTATAGTTTAGTTAATAAACTTATATTTAGATAGATATTTGTATTAATTCTTACCATTTGTAATATCTGTACCAATAGCCTATTTATTAAATCATTAATTATAAGTCCGTAAGGTAATAACGATTAATATATAAACAAAACTTCAGAAATTATGATCATTGTAATATTTACGGGTAACAATACTTTAGTTCCTCCTGTTATATCAAGTGTTAAATAAATTTAGCATTAATTATCAAAATTTATATGGAAAAATGGGTGATTGAAAACTGACCTGGGTGGGAATCATAAAAACTGCGGATGTCAACTACAAGTCCATCACAAACGACCAAATAAGCCTAAACAAAAAAAAAGCAATACTATTAAAATTCTGAAGATAGTTCCTTAACTATTACAGTTTGGCCAGTCTTATATTTGGCGTTATATAGTATATTCCAATAATAAAGTTCTTTGCCGGTACCAAACCTATGCAAATAAAATTATATTTCTTAAATTTGTCGTAGTGCGCTATTTAAAGTAGTTGTACTCTATATTTTCCCAGAATTAACAACCGGTTTTTGCTTTAATATATGAAAAAAAGATCGGCAAACAGGTTATTAATTCGAATAGCGCGAAGAGGACTTCAATCAATATAATTTGACTCGTATAAGTTTAGTATTTTATAAGTTAGCATTTGAATTTTGTGTATCTATCATTACTATCATAATGTGTCAGAGATAAGATGAAAATTGAAACCCAATTTTTTCTTTTTTATTTTTTGCAGCACAATTCAAAATAATTAAACCTACCCCATGCTGAACTCGTTCATTAATTTCTTCCCAAGTAAAATTGGGTAATTTAACATAATCATCATGACCAATATGAGTAAGTATCGGATTTTTATCGACAACAGTCTCATATTTAACACAAAAGAATCGAGAAAAAGCTGCTTCAAAATGCCACCAGAGTTCAAAAATTAAGAAAACAATTATTATTATTATTATCCAACATAAGTATGCAATTTTCCATCCAAGTGAGTTGCTATTTATAATAATTTTGTTAGATCAGAAATGAAAAGTAATGAAAATTTGTAATAAACTAAATAGATTGAAGTATTATACTTACTAGCCGTAAGAAAGGCTATATGTATCGATTCCTAAAACTCGATATAAAAAACGATTAGTATGATGTTAAAATTTCAAACCACTGTATATAAAATATCTTATTGTATACAGATAATCACCAATATATATATTAACCCTACAATTTTTAATGAATGCACAACAATAATAATAATGATAATGATAATAAATAAAAAATTTCATATATATTAATATATCATAAATTGAAAATAAAAACAGGGAATACAATGATTACAATTTTTTACCATGCAACAAATAATAATGATAAACCAAATATTTTATGTAAGCGCTTTGTAAATCTTGGATAACCCTAACAAATTATCCGATATATATGATTAACTAATTTATTAAACAAAGTTTATGAATGTCAAATGCAGAAACAAACCTTATTAACTGATACCACAGACGTTTGTCCCCATATAGCGACTAGACCAAGGCCTACGAAATTTCAAACAATTAAATTAACTGAATTAATCAAATTAAATTGAAATCCAATCGATTACAAAGTACCTAATTCAGCAAATGACAAAGTGTATATTATCAATCCCAACCTAAATTTTGTCAATAGTCAATATATAAGAAGCAACAAAAACAGACAAATAAATATACTATAAAAAATAATACCAAGCATGTGGTGTTTGTGTCGCCACCACTGTAGAAATAGCAGCAGCACCAAATGCAGAAGCAGAAATACCGCCCAACAGTTGTATGAACCGATGAGCTCTAAGATATAGGTTATGATGCTACGTATAAATACGCAATAAATTGAATCAACATTCTAATATCGATAATTTTCAGAAATTTGATCTATCGCGCTAATATTATCATCTGCATAAAACCCGGTTTTATGTGAGAAAAATTGTACAATGAACTAAACATACCTTCCAGTACCGAACGATTAAGATTGAAATTGGGAATAAGACGCTAAAAATTATAATAAATGTTCAGATTATTATCTAATATCGGAAAAGTTTTGAGATTCCTTATTTGTGCCGTTAATACCAACTCCTAAAAGGAAACTTAATATAAAATAAAGTGTGAATATAGAATATGGGGTTATGACATTAAAGGCTTTAACCATTATATTGTCTCGTCATGGTTTTTTTTATATTCCGTTCATTTTACACGCACTTAAATTCTAAGTTGAGATGATTAAAATTTACGAATATTTCCTTTTGAAAAGTTTGTATTACCGGCACAGAACATTTTATTTACCACCACGTAAAGAACATTCCACAGCCGTGAATTAATCTAACTATCCTCTGAAGGTTGGTTGAGGACGCTAAACTAATTTGACTATCGTAAAAGTTCACATGAAACAACATACGATTATTTTGGTGATAAGAGAAGGCGTTGCTGTTTGGATTATAAGCCAAGATATCTTTATCGGTACATAAAAAAAATATAATAATCAATTAATATTTTCTGCATTATAAAATTCTCAAAGATATAACATAATAAAAATAATATAAAAACTAAATATCGCACATTTCATATCACCATGAGTAATTGGTTTTCTTCCCGGTGGATTTAGAAGCCTTTTGAATTCTATGGTCACAGCATTCTTATCAGACATAGAAAATTTAGGTACAAGAGTAGGATCTTGATCGAAATCATATAAGGGAGGATGGTAACCAGCTATGTCGGCATGATAATTTCCCAATGTGACATTTCCATTGGTAACCTTTGATATGATAGCGTAAAAGTTTTAGATAATAATCCTCCTTTCGTAATACAATTTGTAGGTTTCAATGGGACTTACAATGCCAATGATAAATTCAGCACCTTTCATTCCATCATCATCTGGACTAAACCCCTATAATATATATTTATATAATGAACAAACAGGATAAGAGAATATTCAAAAACCAAATATTAAAAACGTATTTAAACTCACCATTCCAAACCAACCATTGCCATCAGAAGTTTGAAGCTGAACTTTGAAATACACATATGTCATATCAACTCTACAACTCACAATATATTGACTCCAAGTGCTAATCTTGGTTGGATAATTACTATCATCACTATTGTTAAGTGTCATTTGAGGTTGAACTGACCAAATATTCTGTGGGAAATTTCCACTATCATTAATGTTACGAATTATGATATTTCGAAGTGTAGTATTTCGTATGATAGTTCGTTCATCAGGAGTAAACATATCAGGCTTTTCGAACCAAAACTTATCAGAATCCCTAATATATGTATACTTTTGAAAAAATTTATATGTATAAATAAAGAATTTAACACAAACTTATAATCAAAATCTTCATTGCCAAAACATAAAAACAATAGCTACCTGCGTCACTATACTTGCATTTAAAATCATGCCAAAATTTGAACCATTTAAATGATCTTCACTCAACATTCCAACCCACGCTTCTACAGTATCAACTCCTAAAATGAAAAAAAAATCATTTGTCAATTAACATTTATAGTAAAACTTACAAATGAATTATTACTGTATTATATTCACCATTTGGATAAATTTTAGCCAAATTTTTTTGGATAATAGGGTTTGTGGAAATGTCAGCAAATGACTGAGCTTTAGGAAAACCAAAATACTTTCGAATCTCATTATACAAAGGAATGCCTATTGTAATATTTATAATAAACAAAAATCGTGAAAAAAAAATTACAGTGTAAGACATTCTTGCACAGGTAAATATCCTACCACGATCTCTACTCCTTATAATATCAAAAGCTGCTAGATCATAAGTATTGTTGTTAATAAGAATTTTTTTAATTGAATCAACCAAAAAAATATCAACTTCTTCTTGACGTTGAAGAATCATAGATCGAAGTACTCTTTCTAGACCAAATTGTTCTAAAAGTGTTTGGTTTCTAATATCGTTCAAAGCTAAATTATAAAGAGTATCTCCGTATTCATCTTGAATGCGGTAAAAATCACTATATAAATTTAAGAAATTTTATTAGATATTTTTCAATTAAGAAAAAAATATATATATAATAATATCGACCTTAATTCACTATGGCCGTATCGAAATGCAACAGTTGAAAAGAATGTATCAATTCCTGTTAATGCGCATTAAATTTAAAGTTAGAAAATATGCTTCATAATAATAAGACCTTATTACAATATTTTTAACCTGGTGTAAGATTTGGATTATAATTTTGATAGGCTGGTAAAGGACGACCAAGAATAGCACCAAAATATTCTTCAGCAACAGCTTTTTGATAGAAAGCAGTAGTCCAACGTCTCTGAAATAAATTATTTGATCGTCAACAGACGAATTTATTAACAAGAAAAAAGGATATTATCGATAACCCACAGCTTCCTGAAAATATTGTTCATCCGTCCAGGAACTACCGTATTGTTGATATAATTCTTCACATTTTCGATTATGTTCACGTATCCAGATCGTCTGGATAGCCAAATTAAATATATTAACTGCAAGTCCGGAAGAACCCCAAATATATGAACCATTCGAAGTATTTTTTGGAGGATATTCTTGGCCGTTGACAATAGACGTCTTCAACTTTCCTCTATTTGTAGATGTATCTCTAAGCCTGTCTATCGCGTCCTGGTCACTAATTCCGTAAATAGTATTTAGGTCAAGAAATGGAGTGACATTGTTTATTCCACTAAAAAGAGGGTTCCGCGTTGTTGGATCAGTGTTATTATTTCCATCAGATCGATTAGCCGGTAAAAAAGGTACATTAAGTTGGTATGGAGACATAGTGGAATTTGAATTTGGATTATAAAATGGATCATCTGCCGGTAGAAACATTGGGTATGTTGGATTCGTGTTCTTTGAAACTATAATATCAAACGCAACGTGGAGAGAAAAAAAAGTAGCCTATAATATTATATAAAAATAAAAAAGATATTGAGTTCAATGAAGCATGATGGTCATAAATTCATGTACAACTTACGAAATGGCTTGTCCGTCTTGATGAACGATAATGTGACAATGTATTAATATCGTAAAGTGGAGTATTATAACTGCACATAACATTTGATATGCATCTTGGCATAGGATATAGCCCAGAAGGTATACTATCGGTGCATTTAATGGTTGTCGGACCTTCCGGGTTTAAACCAAGAAAATCAGTGGGAGACGAAACAGGAGTAAAATTTTGACTAGATTTTGAATTAAGAATTACTAATGGATAAACTTTAAATTAATAAGTGCTGCCAAGGAAAAATATGACTTGGGATTTACAGATTCAGCCTTGAAAAACCTGATCAGTTCAGTGACATATGCAATAACGATAATAATCAATTTAGTCACCGTTCAAATTGTCATTAGATATGTACGTTTGTGTTAGAAGTTGTTTCTACATTAGATATCTTAATGTCTAGACTGCCGACCTTGATGCATGATAACCGAAAGCCCAAACTTCATTTCCTAGGCAACACTCATATTATAAACCAATGATTAATTACTGTACTTGTAATTTAATGAGCTAATGGCCCTCAAAAAAGGTTGATGTGGAGTTCCAGCGATTGAATTTATAACATTGTTGTCACTACCATTGATGAAACGAGCTTTTACGATAGCGCACCAAAGAATTGAGAGTAAAAAATAAGTTATAAACCGAAATTTCATTTGATATCCGAAAATGCGTTTGCAAGTTTTTTTGTTTTTGAAGATTTATTTGCAAAAAAGAACAACTTGTTTTTTTTTCTGAGGCAGAAATACTCTTTATTTATAATAAACATCTTATTTATATTTGTAATCAATTTATGCCATAAATGCCAAATATTTCTTATACTCCATATATTCACTAAATTTAATAAAGGCCGAGACCTAATCGTAATTGCGGCTGTGAAAGAATAAAATAATAAATAATTATGTGCTTTCGCTATATATAGATAACGCGCCCTCTAAATTATAAAAAGCAGAACTACAACATTAATGCAACAAATACGCAATCACTTTACTAAAATTCGTTTAATTGACATCATTTAATGTTAATACGACATTTTAACATGTATTAGTTTTAGCATGTTTTGTCAACAGTCACGTGATATGACTTATCGATCAAATATAGTTACTGTATATAGAATCTTCATCCTAATGATGGTATTCATCCAAACATTACTTAATAAACTTCATGAATTTGGATCTACCTACGTATTCTAGTTCGGGATTCGGCGATTCGGTTGCTACTCTAATCCAACTCTCGTGTAACCTACGGCGGCTAAGTCGAAATAGGCGTGTTAGATTTGGCTAGGTGGTTTATCCGTAGGTAAGTACTATTCTTCTCTTCTTTCTAAGTCCTTCCTTTAACCTATTCTTCTATTAACCCTTGCCTTCTATTGTCCTTTCTTTACTTCTTTAACCTGGAGTTACGAAACGTCGAATCGGGGTTGGAGTCCTTCTCTTCGTTTAACGGCTTGGTCACGTGACTTGCGGCGAACGAACAAAATGCGGTTTAGTGGACGAACAATAGGGACAACGATGGGTTTTAACGATAGTTTTCAGTTTGGGTTAGGTTATAGTTCCACCTTTACTATGGGTCCGATACTTAAGTTTATTATGCGAAAAGGTATTTACTTGGGGGTATCGCCCATACTTCCTCTCCTTTCTCCTCCTGGGCGGAAAGCCCTTTATTTATAATAAAACTTTTATTTACATTCGAGGATAATTTCCTCTACATTATCTGTCTACACTATATAATTATCCCTTCCATCCTAAAGAAAAACCGAATGTACTATATGCCGTCGATCTACCCGAAGTAATAAATGTAACAAAAGTAAGAAAAGTAAGATAAATCAAAATTTTCACTTTCACGTGACTGCGTTTAAAAATCTTTAAATTCGTTTAAGCTAGGTTTTAGAGGGTAATAGTAAAATCACTCGAGGAATTTTTTTTGTTAGAGCTCAAAATGTGGTTTCTTATGCAAGTTTTTGAGGAATAAGCGATTTTTGAAAAGCGAACGTTTTGTTTTGATCTTCCTGATCGTGTAACGTTACATTAAAACGAAACACACTATTGGATGATCATCACGTGAAAGTGAAAATTTGACGGCGATCCTGGGGTAGTTAGATAAATCTTACTTTTCATGTGACCAATTACTCGGGTAGGGGCGGGACCTAATTTCGACGATCGGTCATGTGTGACATATGACCGATTTCGGGGCTCACAGTATAAAATAGGGAAGGAAATTCCTTTCCTAGAATTAATGTGAGGTTAAACGCGTCACATTGCTATATGAGTTGCTATAATAGAAATCAAGAATTTTCTATGGACGGTAGCCCGTATTTGCTTTGAGTGTCTTGTGTAAGGAAATCCTACAGAAGGCAAAAAGGATTGCACCAATCACGAATTTGAAAGTTAAAGTTTACTGTCATCAATTGCCAACATAGAAAATAAATATTGAATGTCTTCAGTCTTAGGCATTGCCTCGGGAAGAAATTGCATTTTTTATATTTTTTGTTATGATAAAGTAATTTAAGTTAAAAAATTGGGTTCACTATAGTTTCCAAAAAAAAAAAAAAAAGGCTTAATATATTAAGAATTATTCAACAAAAAAATTTGTATAAGAATCTATCCTTATTCTAATCCATACTATAAAAAGCTTTGACTTTGAATATATTAATGTTATATCTCGGATGAGAATCGTTCGATTCAGAATCAGAACGATCCTGTATGAGAGTTTTTTTATTTTTGGTTTATTTTTAGCAGAAACTATATGAATTAAACCTAATTCACCAAAATAAATTCTCATCAAGACAGCTTGATCCTGAATCAGGACGATTCCATTAGGGGTATTACTATTCCTTTAAAACACTGCATAAAACATACATTAAATCTGAAAATATGAAAATAACTACATTTAACCGGAAGTAAACTCAATGCGCTTATTTATGTTTTAGGGTTAGAGTGCCAAATTTTAGTTAACATAAGGGTTTTGGAGGCTCTAAACATTTTTACTTAGTACCCTGAAGTAATTATCTAGTGGGTTTTTGAAATATAGTATCACCAGTTAAAATTAGTAATTCCCTAAAAACATATTATAGTATTAATTTATATATACCGCATCTAACGTTATTTCGTAATGATACGGTAAAGTTTTTACACTAATATTTTATATACGAGAGATGCCAGAGAAAAATCTTTTATTATTTATTTATCGTATTCAGCCCTGACTACGCAATATGACACAATTAAATTTGCTTACTTATCATATATGTCTCTGATCCAGCAAATAATAAATTATCACAAGTCTGGTTTTCATTTTGCGACACTCATATTTATCGATATAAATTCTTTATTTGCATTAGTGGAGATGAAAGCCAGTTTGATTATCGCATAATTTCGTAATACATCTAACTAGAGATGGTAACATATTATTTTCTTTTAATTTTCATGTGTAACTAGGGATGGCAAATGATTTAAAACAGAATGGTTGAAATCAGGTTTATTTTGCTTTAAATGACTTTTTACATGTTTTAAAACTTCGTCATATCATGATAATAATAATGGGATCATGATTATAAATTCGAATCTTCCTACTTTTTTGACTTTTGCAACAAACAGATTGCATATATTTCGATTAAGAAATAAAAATATATGGTGACACTGAGTTGAAATCAACTAATTATATACAGTAATTTTAGCTTCGTTCATTAGCGTCATAATCAACAATGTTTTTTTACCATTCCTATGTGCAATAACGATAAATGAAGAATTATGTTATAAGTAAGACCACAACCTGCAGATCATTGAGCTTAAAAATTTATTTTCTCGATTAAATTTGCGAAACATGATAATTAATAATTAGTTAATAATTAGTAATAATGTGTAGATTATTTTTAATTATTACCAGGGGATATTAATATCCTACCTTAAATTAGCCAATCTAATCAGGATATACTGGTTCAGTTATGCCAATAATCTAGTCATGTTTGCATGACGATATAATAGAATTTGTTTAGAATGGTTTTAGTGTGAATATATGAGTTTACAGCAGACCGTTAATGTTACACGTATATTGAAACTGGTGAGGGATTATATCCATCACAATTGAATCCAACATAAATAATTTAATTTGTGATTGATCACAGGCGAGAGGGATTCACTTTGGATCGGGCACTGTCACTGCTGTAATATGAGTTTTGTCAAGAGAAAAAGCAATACGGATTTCTAATTATATTTTGTACCAGATACAATTTATTTGATCTATCTATTTTATTAAAGATTGTGTCTGATATAAAATATAATTAAAATTTCATATTGCCTTTACCAGGAACGGAATACGAAGTACGTAGTGTATGGTTTACAGGCAACTCAGATATGCGTGTACAATTCTAGACACTTGATTGGTCATCGTGACTCTGATTATCACGTGTTGTTACACCTTATGCCGGTGGCGTCTGTGTTTGTACATTGTACACATGCCCGAAAATAAATATTTTTTTTATACGTTTCACAATACCTTTGAATAACTCTTTAAAGAGTTTTGATAAGATCTATGTGTACTACAGATTAACTAACTTTTTTATAATATTTTTGTAGTCATTTAAATAAATGATAGAGCATTTATACTCGATACGATATGTATACTAGAACATAGAATAATTTTTTCCAATATAATAATAGTAGTATAGCATGTTTATCTATATTAGATTATATATCAGATGTAGAGCGAACGTAGAAGCAACTATAGGACCAAATATAAAAACGAATATATATTATTGCGATTTTTTTTAAGTATGTTAGATAAAGGTTAGTAAATTAGATAATACATGACCCGAGCTAATAAAAACTTTTTACTTACTCTACGATATTATTTAATGGGATTAATTTAAATTTTGGATATAAATTTTTTAATTCAACTTCGCTTAATTTTCTTATTTTTTTGCAATTTTGGTAGTAAAAGGATGATTTTTTTAGCACGAATACTGGTGGCCCGATGTGAATTATCGCATATGTTCATTAGATTTTGAGGATTTTCTGTTTTTTTTTCGTGGTATTTTTTATTAGGTTGATGAAATGGTAATTACGGATCATCAAAGGTTTGACATTTAGGTCGCATCGTGATTGAGGACTGCCTGATTTGAACTGGCACTTATTGACTATGATTTTCATCGTATCCCTTGTTGGGTTAATTACTATATATGGAATGTCATTTACTAACACTAATCGTAATTTGATCTATGAATATTAAGATACGTGCTGATCATTTGAGAATATTAATTATTTTGTTCTAACCAAATATATATATATATCTCATGTCGAATTTCTAGTTATGAGGGAGTGTGCGCTATGCCGAATTTCTAGTTGTGAAGCAAGTGCACACTATGCCGAATATGAGTAATTCAAAAAATTCAGCTAAAATGATTATTAATAAATCAGATATATCATGAACTTTGCAAATTATTTGTTATTTATATTGATATTTAAATATTATATATACTTTAATCATATTTTTGTTTATTATTACTAGAAACAGCATTTTTATCAACTAAAGATAAGCTAACTCTAACTATCAACCTACTATAATTCATATACCTTAAGTCTATAATATATTTATCTTATGAAAAAAACAAACTCTCTAAAATCTTCATATTGCTATTATAATTATATACAAAAATTTAGTTATATTAAATTATATTTTATATTCTCTTGACATTTTAATTTACAAAAAAGAAAAATCTAACTTATTTATTCAAAACTTTTCATCACTTAAATAACTTCTCAACAACCATTTTCTATTTATAAACATATTTTTCTTAATTCATTATTAGTTTTGACATTAATCTTGTTAATATTAAAAATAAATCATAATTATTAATTCTAAATCAAATGATTATAATAGTTGAATCATATATGTATCTGAACCGTAATTACTAAAAAGATTTTTTTGTATTATCTAGTAAAAGTTAGAATCAGTTAATAAAATTCAAGTATGAATTTAGATTAACATTAATCTGATTTAATATTAAATTGATTTACAATGTCTTAATCCAATTGTAAAATTTAAACAAACAGGTTTTAAAACTTAAACCAGATTATTCCTAGCATGTTATGAAGTATTATATTAATTTATTTTAAGATTTTAAGTAAACAAGATAAATAATTTTTACCAATCTATGTGACCTGGTTTAAATTCACTCTACTTGACTTAACTTACAACTAGTTTTATATTATATACAAATAGAGTTATCTTACATTACTTGTAATTTTACGTAAGTTGAATTTCAAATAAGTTTAGTCACATAATATAAAATACTGAGATTACATAAATTGGTCTAGTTTTATTTGTTAGATTTATTTGAATATCTAAGAAATCCAATTATCAAATCTTACAAAAAATTACACAAAATTATATAATATTACAGTAATTTTACAACTCTATATGCAAATCTGATTCAATTCTTAAATCTATAAACACTTCTAACCTATAACACTACATTTATCATTCATCTGTTTCTGGTTTTGTGTGATAATGTTGTGCAGCTACTTATTCTTTGATATTACTTATATTGTATAGTTAATTATTAATGTCTTTGTCTTCAAAAGTGATTTTATTCAAATTATTATGAACATAAAAACCTTTAGAGGTTTCATTACATAGAAGGTTACAACTAGTTACATGTGTACTTTTAGTGCCTAATTTAAGTAGTTTGCTTATATATTACTATACAGATTCTATATTAGATGCAATACTTGCAAGCCAACTATAAGATTTGCCTATTTAAACCTTTTATATATGCAATCTAACTTGTATTATAAAATATTTTCAAAACACAGTCTATTCAAAATTTTTGATTCTTATTAATATCTTTAGAATTATTTTATTTTTAACAGAAAATTCATTAGAGTTCTTTATATTTTATATATAATTGATCTAGTTTTATATAATATATTATAGTCAGATTAACATTTGCAGTTACAGATATGAGCTGTCATTAATAAAAATCAAGCAAATCTATATTTGAAAAAAAAATTAGTGCTTAACTTTCATAGTTCATATCTCAATAGATTTTAAAGTTATATTGATGATTTAATATTCAAAAGAAAACTTATGATCTAAGCTTTCTTTTGAATATTAAACCATTAAGATAGCTTTAAAATCCATCAATATATGAGTTATAAAAATTAAGATATTAATTTTTTTTCAAATGTAGATTTGCTTGATTTCTATTAACAGCAGTTCATATTATATTAAACTGTTATTATTATATTATGTTAAACTGTTATTATTATATTATTTTTAGTCTTATAAAATTTATTAAAATTTTAATATTTATTTTTTTAATATCTTTTTTTTATTCTAGATCAGTTTTTTCAAATTATTAATAGTAGACTTGTTTTTAAGTTTTTGATATATAATTAAAGATATTATTTTTGATATATTCTAATAGCTTGGTTGATTATATGCTTTTTTATATATATTTATTATTTAGTTTATTTAGTTTCTTTTAAAGTTTCTATCAGTATAATAATATCATTAAAAGTTTAGATTACTTTTTTATTTAGAATTTCTAAATAAAATTTTATTTCTTTAGTTTTTTAGTCTTTTATGTTTAGAATCTTATTTTAAACTTTTATTTAAGTTAATGTATCTAAAATTACAAATTTGTTAATTTAACTAATTATTAAGAAACAATTAACTATATTACAGATATAATTGTCAAATTTTATTGTTGATAAAGTTTGAAGACTAGACTTGTTATTTGGAATTAACAATTATTAGCAAAATTTTTAAACAGATATATATTGATATATAGTATTTATTTAATATATGAGAGATGCTAGTAAAAACCAAGCAAATTGTTTCTAAATAAAATTTTTTTAAACTTTAAAGTAAAATATCTTAACAATTATTAAACCAAACTTGATAAATTTTTTTATTTTAATTCTATATAATTATAGAATTAAAATAAAAAAAATTTATCAAGTTTGGTTTGATAGTTGTTAAGATATTTTAATTTAAAATTTTAAAAATACATACTAAAATAATTTGCTTAGTTTTTATTGACACCTCTCTATATATTAATTAATTATTAGAAATCAGAAACTGATATAATTTTGGAGTATAAATAAATAATATATAAATAAATACAGTATAAATAAAGTATAAATATTTTATGAACTTTGTATTACTAATTAATAACCTATTTGTTGTGTTTGTTTAAAATAATTTTGCAATCACACATTATGTGTGCGGACAGACAAAAAATTTCCAAATTATGATATTAATATATTTGATTAAGATAATAATACTGATATATCAAAAAAGAATTTTTCATGATCAAAATGCATTAAAAATGTAACTTTTGTATCACATAGTGCATAGAAATTAAGTGTCTATTACTACACTCCAAACAATTATATATTGATATATATTACTAGCAATATATAATAATTATTAATATAAATAATTATAATTACTATTGATTAGTAATGATTTGTATAAATTTTATTAAATTTTTTTAAACTTTAAATTTAGTTTTCTTAATAACTAGTAATTTAAATTAGTTAAAATTTTACTATAAATTATATATACATTCAACTATATTATATTAAAGTTTTAGCTAATTTAGATTAATGCTTTTAAAAAATTACTTATAAATAATAGTTGATTTTTTTAAAAAAATTATTTATTATATATAAGCAATTTCTTAAAAATTATTAATCTATATTGGTTAAAACTTTAGTATAATATAATTGAATATATATAGTATTTACAATAAAATTTTAACTGATTTAAATTACTAGTTATCAAGAAAACTAAATTCAAAGTTTAAAAAATTCAATAAAATTTTGTTATATATTATTACTAATTACTACTAATAATATTTAGCAAAGATGCTATATATTATTAGTAATCTAAGAATTACTAATAATATATATTACTTTTAAAATTTTTATAATAACTTATCAACTATTATAAGTTATTATATTCTATTATTATTTAATTATTTATATATATTTAGTTGAATAATAATATATTAAATATTTGAAAAACAAAAAGATAATAATAATAAAAATTATAAAAATTTGAAATTACTTTTATTATATAAATGTTAATAAGCTTATTATTTTGTATATCATTTGTTAAGTATAAAAAAATTATAATATTAATTAATATAATTATAAAATATAATTAATATAATTATAAAATATAATTAATATTATAATGTTTGGTTTTATAAAGTTTGGGTTTTATAACTTAATTAATAAATTTATAAATTTTTTACAGACAATATCAATAGTTTAAATTAAATTTAAAAAAAATTTGTTTTTATAATTTATTAGAATTATTAATTAGATGTAAAACTCTGTAATAAAGTTTAAATGCAGATATAAATTTAAAATAAAAAATTTTTAAAAGAAAATATAATTATAAAGCATAGATATTATATATAATAATACAGATCAAACAAAGAAATATTAGTATTATATTAGCATTTTTTTAGACCTAATATTAATTTAGTTTAAATTAGAAACCTATAGAATATAAATTAGTGTTATATTATTATTAATAAATATTAACAAGTTAATAACTTTATAAATAAATTAATAGTATTATCAATTAATTGATTAATAGTTATTAATCAATTGATTAATATACACTCTTTCTGATGATCATTTAAACCAAACTTTTCAAAAAGCCAAACTACAAAAAAATGATATAGTTAATATATTAAACTTTATAAAAACTTTTCCAGAGTACTGTATATGTATAGTTGAATATTGAAATAGAGTTGAAAAAGAAGTTGCAGCTTTGTGGTGACAGTTTAAATACACTTTGGAACTATAGAAGAAGTAATTGGTAAAAGCCAAAGTTTTTTATCAAGTAAACAACAAAGTTGGATATATTAGTTCTATACAACTGTAAAACCTATAAAGAACATCTATAAAGGTTAAGAACTTACAAAAACTATAAAGTTGGTTCTCTTCTCATCTTTACTTTGCTTCGAGAAAAATTTGTAAAAGTGGGTAATTTAGTTTATTCTCTCCTAAATATCAATATATAAAACTACCAAAATAGTAGCAGTATTTACTTTCTAAATAGGTTTGTTGATAATATAGATCAAAAACAATACAATAATACAAACATGACTATACATATGTCTTGAAATACTATAAACTTGAAAATACTGCCTCTGGTCTAACTAGTGCTCTATACTAACTCTTTACAATCAAGTTGAAGATTTTTTCTTTTCTATATAGTTTTTTGCTAAATAATCTAAGTAAATAGAAAAATAGTAGAATTATTTCTATTTAGTATAATTTATAATTTTTAAAGACCCAATACAGGCATACAATTGTAACTGTCTGATATTTGTGAATTGTAAGTTTTATATATTTTCTTTTTTCTCATTTATTTCTTTTCTCCTTTTATTTTTTGATTTGTATCTTTTATCATTTAATCCTATATCTCTGTTTTGTTTTTTATATAAAAAAAAATTTTTTTTTGTTTTTTGCTTTTCTACAAAAAGATGTTATTAGATTGGTGATGTTTTATTGTAGAGCAGCAGTTAGACAAGCAGTCTATCTCTAACTGGGATAGTGTGGCAGTTCATATTTAGATACCATTTAGATAACTAAGTAATGCTAAACTTATATATCAGAAAAATTCTATATAATCTGTATAGTTTCAAGAATCTTAATAAAGTACTAGCATGACTGCTAAAGTTAAAAAAAAAAATAAAAATAAAATAAAATAAAATTATGAATTATAAAAATTTTGCTAATTTACAAAAATAATTTGTATAAGCAGAATGTATAAAAAATAGAAAAAGTTTTTGCTTCCATTATTTAGTTGATAGTAAATATTTTAATATTAAATTTTTTAAAGTAGATAAAGTTTATAAAATAAGATTTTTTCTTATTCATGATATTTTAAGAATTAGTAATAATATTTTAGATGATTTTTCTTATATTTTTATTAGTTTTCATAATGCTGAAACATTTGAAATTATTAAAGATGAATTATTATTTTTAAATCTAAATGCTAAGATAGCTAAAATCTTTTATAAAAATAATTTAGTTTTTGAGAAAAATAATTTTTCTAGTTTATTCAATTAAATTATTATGTATATAAACAATGAAAATAAATGATTTATTAATTTTATTTACTTAAAATATTCAATAGTTTTGTTTAAATATTTATTTATAAAATACAAATAAAGTAAAGAAATCTATATTTTAATTTTTTAACTGATCCTTCTATTTGTTCAGTTGGTTTTCTTTTACATTAGCTCTATTTCTTAATTTTTTTTTTTAGTATAATCTGAATCATCAGAATAATATTCAGACATATTTTCATTAAAATTTACATTTATATTAATAATATTATCAGTTTGCATTTTCCTATCTTGTTTATATTCATATAAGACTTTTATTTTGAATAATCTAATAAGTATCTTTTTTTATATTTAGGAAAATTCTGTTACCAAAAAACTTCTTTATCTTTAAAGATAATTTCTTTATTTTTGAATTTATTAGTCTTAATTTTTTCTATAATTTGTTTATCTAAAAGGTCTTCTTTATTGAATTTAATATTCAAGATCATATTTCTGAAATCTTCTTCAGAATCTTTATAAAAATGAATTTGAGTGGTTTTAGCTTTCTAATTTTCTGTAAATTCTATTACAAAATCCAATCTTTATTCAAATTATATCCAGTTTTTTTGAACACTATTGTCTACAATCAATCAATTACCAAAATTAAATATTTTTTGTAGTAGTTTATATGAAGTTATAAATACATATTTAATAAGAAATAACACAAATCTTTTCTTTTTATTTCAACTTTTTCTTCTGTATCATTCAAATACTTGACAACATCACTTTAAGAGAAACACATATACTTAAAAAAAATAAAATAAAATATTTACTGAAAATATAAATTATTTGTTTAATAAAATAAATATATTTACTACTTATTCAAAAACATAATATTGTGTTTATTATAATTATCATATCAATTTGATTTATTTTGTTGTTTTTTTTCTTTAAATAAAGCTTATTTTTGAACAGTTTTTGAATTAAATTAGATTTTTCTGCTTCATCAGTTCTATATATATAGAATGTACAAGGTCTTCAAAACTTCTTCAAATCTTTTTTATGTTGTTGTTTTTTGAGTTTTAGTAAATATATTAAATCTCTAATAGATCTTAACCAACTTCTTAGTAATAAGTCTTTTTTATTCTTCAAAATATTTTCTTTTGTCAAATTAGTCTCAATAAAGAAATTAATTCTCTTGATATCTTCTAATCTTTTTTTATTGATTTTATCATATCCTTTCAATTTATTCAAAGTTGCAAGATAACAATAGTTACTAAAAGTGAAAAATCTATTTTCTTTACTTGTTAATTCTGTTGCTTTCTATCTTGCAAGTGTATGTTTATCAATACAATCTTTATTACATATATTACAAATCTTTTTCTTTTCTTAAAAATTACATTAACATTTCTTATATTTAGGGTTCTTACATCAATTTTACATTTTTTGACTATAAATTCAATTCTGATCTGAATCTTTATTAAGATGTTTTGGAAAATTCATACTTTATAACCAAATAAATCTTTTATACTAGTTATAATTTGATGCTTATCAAATTGAAAATATGCTTGTTCATAAAATTTTTCAAATTCTGTAGCTTCATATTAACCAGAACTGAATGTTAAACCTTTTTCTTTCAATTGATTGAATTTTTGTTATGTTTTTAGAAATACATATTTATATTTGATATTATTTTTTTTATACATATTACAAACAACATTATTGTATGCATTTAATTTACAACATTCTGTACATAATTCTAATTTACATCTCCAATATTGTTTTTGGCATTTACAATATGTAGGAACTTCTCTAGTATGAGTGTATTCTTTTTCCCTTTCTTGTTTTTCTTTTTTAAAAACTTTTTTTTATATTTGAAATGTTTCAAACTTGAAATGCAATAATAAACAGTAGATATAATATGTAAAAATCTTTGATTAAACTTTTTTTTTAAAAAATTTACCAAGATGAAAGTAAAGCCTTTTTATATTTATTTTCAATTATAAGATTTATTAAAAAAAAAAATAACAAAAATTAAAAATTATAGATATTTATTTTTAGATAATCTATTTTTAGAAACAAAAACTTTAAAAATTAAAAAGTTCATTAGGATCATATTCAGATTTATTGTCTTCAAAAAATTTATAAAGATCATATTTATTTTCATTATCTGAAATAATAGTTATAGGATTTTTATGATCTATATAAAGTGAATCAAAATTATATTCATCTTCATTGTTTTTGAAAACTTTTTTATTATATTTAGAGATGTTATTTTTGTAAACTTGAGCTTTATTAGCTTTATCAACTTTATTAATTTTATTAACTTTATTGTTCTGTTATCAAAGGCCCATTTGGTATATTCAAAGCTTGGACTATAGAAACCTTTGTACCATCTGAGCCCTTCAAGCAACTCATTTAAAAAATACTCTTTTCATTAATAATATTTTGTAATTTTGTAATATTATTATCTTTTTCAATAATAACCTCTTGTAGGTTATTGATAATGTAAAGAGATGCTTCTTTAATCTCTTTAGTTTTTTAATTATATTCTTTTTTATCATGTTTACAATGTATTTCTCTTTATTATATTTTTAAATCTAATAAATTTGTTAGTTTCTTTTTCTTTTAGAACTAAATAAGAGTATTTGGTAACTGTTTCTGAGATAAATGTGAGTGATTGTGTGTTTTTTGACATTTTTTTTAGTTGAAATTACTGAATTTTGTTAAAATAAATACTTTCTTTATAAAGATTTTTTTATCAATTCTTAATTTCTATTGGTTATAAATCAAATTTATAATTTTCTTTAAAGTTAAGTCATAAAAATTCAAATTAATAATAAATAAAACCTTAAATTATTTTTAACAATCTTAATTGCCACATATCATTAACTTAAATTTCTTTTTTTAGACAAATATTAATTAGATAATTTCTTTTTTTAATCTTTTAAATATAACCAAATCTGTAATTAACTGTTTTAGTAATATCATTATAATATTACCAAAACAGTTAATTACTGATTTGTAAATTTGGTTTAAAATTTTTTTCTAAATTTTATCTTAAATTTGATTGGTATTACTTTAAATTTATAGATAAGAAATATTTTAAATCAAGAAATAGTTTTAATTTATACTTTTTTTAACAAGTTTATAAGTTATTTAAATATTTAATAATTATTTATTTAATATAAATAAAAATAATAAATATAAATTTAAATTATTAGAGTGAACTCTACAAGGTTATAGCAGTTTAATAATATGCCCTGACCACCAGTGTTGATCTTGGCCATAGCGATACCAGGTCAACTGTAAGAATGGGATACAGAAGATTCTGAAAGGTTTAGTACAAGGTTAAAGGTTTAAAGAACTGCTTTAAACACTTAGTGGTCATGGCATATTTTTACCAGCATTAACCAGAGTTGTTAGTAGGCAGAGGTAGGTGGGTGGATACAGAAACAGAGTGGTTAAATAGGGAATCTACAAGTGGGTTCCAGGTATGGCAGCTAGTGTAGAACCTTCGGGCAGACTATTTAAATTAGACAATAACTAAAGTTGTATGAGTGGCTAGTTGTACACTCTTCCCATGTTGCCCCCTGTAGTTGTAATGTAATCATTAGCCAAATATACTATCAATAAAATCCTAGGTCGCAAGTACTCATCTTAATATTTAAAAAAAAAAATAATACTAATTTGGATTTTATGCCAAGTAGTTTTGAGAGATTTAAAGGTTTGAATAGAAAGAGGTGTTTTGTTTATAGTGAGGTTAAGAGAAACTTGTTTGATAAAAATTTCATATTTCTCTTTATTCATTGCTTTGTAATTAAAAGTTTTGTATTTAGTTCTAGTTGAATGTCTGTTTTTGCCTATAAAAGCATAAGAAAATGTCCAAGAGGATATAAGAATTTTATGATCACTTTGGATGCAGTTTTCTGCATCATCCAAATAAAAAGAATTAAGGTATTTGAGTAAGGAAAGGTAGGCCCAAATATAGTCAATAGTACTGTAATATCTACTGCTATGCCAAGTATAAGAGGAGGTATTTGTATGATCTGCTAGATCATAAATATTATTATATTGTAGAAATTGCAATAGTTTGTATTTAATAAATGAGAAGGTAGAGTTGTTAAATAGTATATTAAAGTTACCTAGTATTATGGTTATGTTTTAGTTAGTAGCTTATTGGATTCATTGAATAATGGTATTTTGAATTTAAAGTCTTAATTATGAGTTTTTATATGATAAATATATAGAGATAATTCAAAATTTGTGGTCATATTTAAAGAAGAGGTCTATGGCTATAGCATAGCTTGGAAGAGTAATAATGTTGTGTATATTGGATGTAAGATTTTTATAAATCATGAGAGCAGTTCCTGCTTTGGAACTATTAGTATATGACCAGTAATAGGAGTAGTGTTTTGAGTTATGAAATTTGGTAATAGTATTATCTTCTGCTATTTTAGTTTCTGTAATACTGATAATGTCTAGAGAATGAGTGATACAGTAATCCTTCCAGACTTACTATTTGAAATTTTCATTGTATCCTCGAACATTGTGGGTGCAGATTGTAAGATTTAGAGATGAGGTATTAAGGTTTCTAGGTTGTGTTAAATTGCTAGAAATAGGGACTAAAGGTGCTGGTATAGGGAAGACTAATGTTAATGTGTTTGATTTTAGCTGAATGTTCGGATAATGTCAAATAGCTTGAATCAGTAAGATAAAATAATTAGATAATGGTTTAGCTTCTGATAGAAGATAAACATGAGCTTTGCTATAATTATTTTTAATAGAAATAGTTAGTATATAGCCACAAGCATTATCAGGTAAATAGCTAAAGCTGTAGATGTGTCATAAAAAAAAAATAATAGTTTGTGGATAAGAAAGCAGTAGTAGGTGGTTGTAGAATAGAAATTTGTTGTAGCAGGTATTAAATTGAATTTTGTTATAGTAGTGTTTAGCTATGGTGGTTTTATTATAACCTAAGATAGCTCCTACTAGTTGAAAATAAGAGTAGTCTATATCATT